TGAGCCCACACGTCACCTAAAGCAATGCAGTTAAGGTACCCCCACTTGAACACCTTTTTTACTTTTGACACCACAAGGCCAAAAGTACCAACTAGATTTACTTTCCTACCAGAAAAATATATTGAAGTTGAAAATCTAAGCAGTTTCACTGCTCCAAATTCCAAAAGGTGACGACAGACACAAAAGTTGGATGAATCTATTTCAACAAAAAAATTGATTTTAATTATTTTGTTGTAATTTAAAAATCTTATTCGTATGTAGTAGGGTACTTGGACATTTTAACGTTAAGCTACTAATATATTATATAACTTTATATATTTTATACACACAAATACACAATGATATTTTAAAATGCTGTTTTCGGTAAGAATGATTAATTTTTAAAGATTTTAACCTACCGTATAACTAATAGTAAAATAAATTGCTTTAATACCAATATAATTATTATATCATAATAATGATATCAGTATTCAGTAATAGGTTTAATAGGTATATATTGATATAGTTTATTAGTTTAATACAACTTTGATTACATATTCAAGTCTAAATATGTCTTATAGGTAACTATAATAAGTATCTAATAAGTAGGTATCTCATGGGCAATTATAGCAATCGATATGCCTTCATTCGTCGGTACGTTAGACATGAATTTATCAAGATATATGTATATTTGTGGTTACCGACTAGGTACCATGAAAAAATTAAATAATAATACATTTTTCAAAATTTCGTTTAGAACTCATATAACATGAATTTTCCCAGAGATGAAACATTAACCAATGATTTCGTTTTTCAAAAAAAAAGCTTAGAAATTCTGACTAAATCCGTGGGGACACGAACTCGGCATTATTGATCTGTAGTATGTACTATTAGTATCTTAATACTCCATAAAAGTACTTTTATTTTACTAGCCATCCATATGAGCACTTCCGTAAAAATAATAATTCCTGATTGCCCCTGTTTATAAATCGTAATGAATAAATTAACTATTGTCATATAAAACAGTTTTTGTGTTTTGATTACGATTTCAAATAATTTTGCCGCCGAAAAAATTGTTATATACACAAGCTGTACGACATGGGCTCCCGCCCCACCCCTCATACCATCAACCACACAATCACTGATTCAACGTCGAAACATAAAAGGAATATTATTATTATATTATAATCTATCAAGAAATTAAAAAAACAAACGCAACTCATAATAATAATAATATTAATATGTTATATACCTAAATATAATTAACAATTACTAAAAAAGTATTTTTCATTTCATCTTCGCTTGAAAACAAATTATTTAAATTGTTTGTTTCCGCCCAAAAACGTCGCGTCACCGCCGCTTGCCGCTGACGGTAACGACTTCGGACTTACGACATACAAACTTACGTGGGCATTATATTATAATAACTGCCACTGCGCCGGTGCCCGGTTATCGGTCGCCCACAACGCTATACTCGCTATAGAGTTGACTCTATGCGCAACTTATCACCCGTCGTGAGAACAACTGAACAAGTGAACAACCTACCGGTCACCGGACTAAACATTGTCTAGTCACCACGGTCTGCGGTAGATTTAAATGGGCATAGCGTCGTGGTCGGTGATTATCAGCTGCTGGTGTCCGGGTACCGTGGTGGTGGTAACCACGTAACGAATAACGACACACCGGACCGGTGGTACAAGGTGTTACCAATCTACACGCGGGCCCACTGACGGTCGCGGGCGGGCCCGTCGGCCACTCGTCGTGGAATACCTTGGCCGCGGGGCCAGGGCCGGAGCGCGAAAACGACGACGACGACGACCGGCCGATTTCATGGCAGAAACGGCGGTCGGTCACATGACGCCGGCGGACCAATGGTGGGCGCGGGCAAGGAACAATCGTGCTCTATACGTGGCACGCATGTAAAACCGCAGGAGCGGCGAGAGAGAGAAAAAGTAAATAAATGAAATACAAAAAAAAAGTAAAATAATAGAGAGAAATACCGAGTCGTCAAGAGAGGAACCCGTACGCCGCCGCCATCTTATCCTATAATCGGTTAAATATATATATATATACAATTATAATACATGTAATATATTATATATAACTTATATATATATATATAAAAGTGTGTATGTAGATACGCTTACGTTTATATAGATAATTATTGTATTCGTTACTCGCGTCGTGATAATATTATTATATCGTTTTTCGATTTGATCCGGGCCGTGTCAGTCTGTGTCGTCTTGCGTTTTTATCAAACTCTTTTACCGTCGACGCGCCCCGTTCCATACACACGCACATCTCGACCTGCCGTTCGTCGTCTTCGTCCATTCCCGTTCAACCGCTTTGACCTACGTCCGACATCGAGTAAGTACCTACCACACCGACACCGACCACCAACACCCGTGTACCGAAAACGAGATGCGGCTTGGCCGTGTCTCGGGGTCCGCGGCCGGATCTTTCGGCTCGCCTGTAATATCGCCGTGGCCGGCTGCTGTGTGCGTGCTCGACCGCGGCCGGCTGCTGCCTACGTGTGCGGTTTTGCGTCCGCCCTGACGCCCGAACCGTAAGTCGCCCGGTGGTGTTTTGTGGGTTTTGACGGATATGACGTGTCGTCTACACGACTCATTTTCTCCGGGTGTCTCACCAACACCCGTCTTCGAGTTCCCGAGTCGGCGATATAGTTTTGGGCGGTTTGTCCTATTTCTGTAGAGACACAAAACCCGGATCATCGCCCTAGAGATCTATAGTGAAATACAGAGATATTATATAGAGTCCTATAATGATATGTGTACGTACTTGACCCCAAAAGCCTTCTAGATAGTGGATGAGATTTGTGGCAAGATTGTATTTGTTCGACAAAGTGTAATGTCTGTTTGTAGAGCGTTTTCATAATATGCAATCGCCTGACAATATTGTCATTTTTGTAAGATTGGTTTGGTCTTCAAATTATAGTAAAATGAATTACTCATTCAATTCATAATCGTCTCAGGAATCTTTCTGAAGATCAGTTGTTTTCGACATGCTCTTTGTACCTAGTTCAAACATATTAATTTAACACCGTAGACACTTTCTCTGTTTATACATTCCATACTTTTCCTAAAAGTATATACCTATTGTTGATAATCAATAAATTGTTACATTCTGTATTTGATTATTATATGATTTATTTATTCTTTGTCACCGTCAAATTTTATGTACATTCTTGTATCAGAATGTGACGGAATGTGATGATATTTCAATTATTCTACATAGTAGAGAACTTTTCTAGAATAATGTAAACAAGTTTAGGTATGGTAGATACATTATGCTACTAAACTAAATTACCTACTTAATCGATCATATTTCTTATTAATAAAAAAATTAAGTTCTATTATAGCCTGTACTAACTAATTTTATTGAATATAATTAGTACCTCGTTGTGGTCTATTCTTTGAGAATAAATACCCTGTTAGTATTAGAAAACTATTGATTTTCTATTAATAATTTAAAGAAGAAAATGTGTGCAACAGGTACTTATTATGATTCTATGCTTTTCTTTTAATATATTTATTTGGATACAATTTAATTGTTTTATCGTATTGATACCTAATATATTTTGTTTTTATTTAAGCTATGGAAAACTACTCCAACTTATCTATTTATTGATCAAAGTTCCTACCATATGGTATTTAGTTTTTTAATTTAATTATTAACATTTAATACTAATTGTTAACATCTGATTTGTTTACTATGTAGTTGATCTTTAAATATTTAGATCCGTCAAAACTCATTATTTGAATCTAAACTATAACATTCTAATATGATAATAAGCATTATTAGTATTTATCTTAAAACAAAAAAAACTTTAAAATGTCATTTATTTATAATACCAAACCAACATACAACATTGTTTATCTTGTTAAACAACAATAAAAATGACAATTAAGAAATTATTATTTTAATAAAATATTTAAAATAAAGTTTACTTTAGATACCTACTATAATAATTATAGTATAATGACATTCATAATTATTTATTACTGACAGATAGTTGCTATCAATTGATAAGATAATTCTGAATTTGTATTTTTATGAGTAGTATAAAACTAAATTTTTTTTAAATCATTGGTATAATTGACAACAGTTGTATATATAATTTGATATATTCTTAGTTTGATTGTTTGTATTTATCTTCATTGTATAATAAATGGTTATTCAAATATTATTTTAGTTTTATTCGAATTATTTAATTTGTTAAAATAGGGTTAACCTTATAAATCAAAATTATGTTGGTGAATTCAGTTGTATTTAATGTTAGTGGTCTGAAAAATTATCTTACTTTGACCATCTGGGTACATACATTTTTACATCTGTTGTACTGTTAAATTAAGAGTAATCCTCTAAAATTTAACTTTGTATATTGATTTTAATAAAAAAAACTATTTTTCAGAATGGGGAATGTTTTCGCGAATCTGTTCAAAAATTTGTTTGGCAAAAAGGAGATGAGAATACTTATGGTAGGATTAGATGCAGCTGGTAAAACAACAATTTTATACAAATTGAAATTAGGTGAAATTGTTACCACCATACCGACTATTGGTAAGATATTTTTCTATTAACTGACTTAATTAATTATTATTTATGAAATATTTATATGCAATGACTGCTATTGTATTAGGTTTCAACGTGGAAACTGTCGAGTACAAAAACATCAGTTTCACAGTGTGGGATGTTGGTGGACAGGATAAAATCCGACCACTTTGGAGGCATTATTTCCAAAACACACAGGCATGTATTTTAATTTTTATGTATACCTAAATATATTATTATATATTCACAGATTTGTATAAAGTAAAACTTATGTTCACAAATAATATTATAATTGTTTAATTTGATGCAGGGTTTGATTTTCGTAGTAGACAGTAATGATAAGGAACGTATTTTCGAAGCTAAAGAAGAGTTAATGAGAATGCTTGGTGAAGACGAGCTTAGAGACGCCGTATTATTGATATTCGCTAATAAACAAGTAAATATTAATATAATAATAAAAATTATATATTTTAATATTGCGTTATAATTTTAGGATTTGCCTAATGCCATGAATGCATCTGAAATTACTGATAAACTAAGCTTACACACGCTACGTAATCGTAACTGGTATATTCAAGCAACGTGCGCAACTAGTGGTGATGGTTTATATGAAGGTCTTGACTGGCTGTCAAATCAATTGAAAAATGCCAACCGTTAACCGACTCCAAACTACATTATTATTATTATAAATATTTAAATAATAAAAAAAAAACTTTATTTGTAATTCGTGAAAACAAACTTAAGCATAATATATTATATATATATATAGCAGACTAAAGAAATTTTTTTTACTCGCCATCAAAATTAATATTGTCAAATGTGTTCTTTTAGTTAAACCATTAGTTCTCTGACCACAGTTGTAATTAATTCCTTAATAAGTTTTATCATCAAGTTCAATGATCAAAACTATTTTTTATGAACCGTTTGACTAATATTAATTTTCAATATTAAAAACTTATATAAAATCATAAAAAAACCACAAATACATAATTACTAATTACTATAATTGTATCTTTCCTCTAAACGAAATATTTTATAACTTATATTTTGTCTGAATTTTGTAATGCAGAAAAAATAATTGTTATGTTGATTTCCCCACATTTTTATTATTTTAGCTTTATTTTGAAATTTTATTATTAGCTTAAAAACACATTTTTTTTTTTTAGTGTATACATTTTTTTATATAAAAGTTACATACCCAAACCGCTATATAAAAAATAAATATGTATAATTTTTTTTCTTTTTAAGTTATACAAAAGCTGATTTTTTTTGTAAATAAAATTTACTATTTATATTACTATTTAAAGTTTAAACACGTTTGAATTTGTTTTATAACTTCGGTTTAATATGCCCTGTCATCTGGTTATAAATTGTACATTACCGATAAATGTAGTTATTCAATTGTTATAAAACTAAAAGTTCATAGTAAATTCAATAACAAAGAAGTTTTATCCATATTCATTTAATTTTGGATTCTAAATATCTGATATAAAGTCAACCGTTAGTGTAATATTTTGTTTAATATTAAAATAAGTATATAACTAGACATTCCATTTATGTTAACATTCAAAAAGTGAAAGTCTGTTGTTTCACTGACATTTTACTTGTCTGCCCTTAACAAATGTGCAGTGTTTGTTGTATTTGGTGTTTGTGTCTTAATTTGTTTCTTTCACTTTATTAACTGGTTGGAAATGTTTTTATTTCTTAGTCATCTGATTGAGACTGAAAACCAAGACCTACACTCAGTTGTTGCTGATATTATTATTATTAATCTTAATTAATAATTTTTAATTTTTGCTATTCTTAATTCTTGTCCATCGGTCATTATATTAACATAAATCTTGTGAAAGAAAGAAAACTCGTAATCTTATTGTATTTCTAATAAATTTTAAAAATACATGTAAATATATACTTTTTTTTATATATAAATATTATATACTGGATATCGTTTCATTTAATGACAACCAATTTTTTTATTAACGTCAGACGATCTTCACCAAACAGATTGAACAAATGTGTTTTAACTTTTCAAGTCTGTTATTATTTTTTATTTTTTATTATTCATTATACACTGCTGCTATTGGTTATTATTATTGTGCTATATTATTTAGTCAATCAACTAATGCAGTATTTTATTTAATTCTACAGTTAGTCCACTGATTTATTGAATATAGCATTAAAGTTTAACTGCCCAAAAATGTCAAGTGATTATTATGAAACTATTATCAATCATAAGAAATGCGTGTGAACAAAGATGGCATTAATCAATAGGAAAAAAAATATTTTGTTTACAATGTACAAATATAAACATCTTTGACACACACGCACACACTTGTTTTGGTATGCCTTAAACCATGAATCGCATTCGAAAAGCGTAAAGTATTAATTAGAATTTAAGTAAATAACAAGTATTTGTGTTTCAATTGATAGTCAAGACATCAAGAGAAAACAACAATGTCTTCATTTTAAATGTCTATAAATATCCAAAGCTCATTTATCCAATTCATAATTAAATATATCACGGAATTCGAACACAGTAACCTGCATCGTTGAAGGTCAATAGTTTTAGTAACAATTTAATGAATTTATACATATAGATAGAAGAATCAAATCTTACAGTTAAAATGTGGACAAAGAGTACCCAACATTGTTTTTTGTGTATGATAAGAATGTATCTACTTCAACGTAAGTACAGATAGTTGGAAGGTATCCAAATATAAAATGCTATCCCACCCATAGATAATATATATTATCTATGATCCCACCACGGCGAAGATTTTACAAAAGATGTATTGCAATTTATAAAATTGTTTTATTCCATAAATTAGACTTGTGAACAAAAATGTATAAAATACGACATTATATATATTTTATTTCATTAATTGAAGGCAGCGTATAATATTAATTTAATAGGTAATTTTTTAGTTGTTTCTCAAACATTAAATAACTACATTTAAATTGTCGTATAAACATAAGAAAAAAAAGATCAATATGGATATGATATATTTGAAATTTATTTCCAGAGTTTCTTGATAGACATATTTTTTTCTGAGTCCTTTTGCATTACTTTAGCGACGGCCATTTCAAAATCATCTTGTGTTACGTGCACACGCCTTTCACGTAAAGCATACATTCCTGCCTCTGTGCACACACCCTGAAATATAAATGGTTTTATTAGGAGATTAAATAAAATTGTTCTCAATAATAGTAATAAACAAACATCACAAAATGTAAATAACTTTCTCGAGGTTCATAATATATGGGTTGCAAAGTATTGGCATGTTCAAAAACTTTAAATTTATAAAAAAATATTGATGAAAATAAAATAAAATATCTAAGGTTACTAATACTATTATGTATTATTTTTTAATCATATGATAGTTCTAAGCTTAGCTTCAGAGCAGTTGAATCAGTCGTTTGAGAACCTGACTAGTCACAAACCACAAGTTAAAATAACTTATTATTAGGGTTTCTTTTCATTTCTAAGATTTAAATATGTTCTGTTTTTAAAAACTATAAGATGGATAAATTGGAATTCTCTAAAAATATGTACATCTACATATGAAAAATCCAAACCTCCAATGAAATGTTTTGAACAAGTATGTTTTCTCAAATGACCGAATCAATTATTTTATCATATTACATATTGTTTTATTATTTATATAACATTGTTTTTTTTAACTATGTTTAAAATTAGGTGAAAATGAATATAATTACTATTAAATGAGTCAATAATTGTTTTAAATAAATTCATAAAACATGAGGAATCGCATTACCTTAACTTCAGCTCCAGATGCTCCAGGCATGAGTTCGGCTATTTTCTTTAGATTTATGCCTCTCGTCAGGTTCATTTTTCTAGAATGAATACGCAAAATATCCCAACGGGCTTCTTCATTTGGTGGAGGGAACTCAATTTTACGATCAATACGTCCAGGCCGTAACAGAGCCGTATCCAAAATATCAATACGGTTGGTTGCCATTATGACCTGGGAATAAAGTATGTATGTTAATTACAAATGCCTCTTATAAACTTTTTACAACTGATCCCACCTTAATGTTTTTAGTTGCTTCAAATCCATCAAGTTGGTTGAGCAGCTCCAACATAGTTCTTTGTACTTCAGAATCTCCACCACTACCAGATTCAATACGCGATGAACCAATAGAATCAATTTCATCCATGAAAATAATACTAGGTGCATGCTCTCTACAGTAGCAATAACATTAAAGGTGATTAGTAAAATAAATATTATTATTACTTATTATAAGAAAATCAATAGTATACCTTGCCATAACGAAGAGTTCTCTGACCATTCTTGAACCTTCACCAATAAACTTTTGCACAAGTTCAGAACCAGATACTCTGATAAATGTACACTCTGTGTGATGAGCAACAGCTCTGGCCAGTAAAGTTTTACCTGTGTGAAATGAAAGTATATGATAAATGGGTATTTCATATTCGTAAGAGTTATTGAAAATTGGGTTAACTTACCAGTTCCAGGAGGTCCGTACAACAGTACACCTTTTGGTTGGGCAATACCAAGGGCGTCAAACAACTCGGGATGTTTGACGGGTAATTCAATGACCTCTTTTATTTCTTTGATTTGAGTGTCTAAACCACCAACCATTTCATAAGTGGAATCTGGTACTTTTTCGACCATCATAAGTGAAACCAAAGGATCCACCTAAAAAAATCACATAAAAAAGTAATAAATGTACCTAAATAACAAAATTAAATTTTGAAAATAATTATTTACAGACCTTATTGGGCAGAATTTTGTGCAATGTATAGCTTTCGTTGCGCAATGCTACTCGACAATTTGGTGTGACATCATTGATATCAATGTTTTTATCAATGTCCACAACAAATTTTCCTTCTGGATGGACTTTAACAAGAACCTTTTTTTTGTCCATTGGCTTCACTACTTCGCCTACATAAGAACCTTGTTCTTGAAGTAATTGAAGTTCTTCTCTCAACAACCTCACTGTAAACGAAAAATGAAAACAATCAATAAATGGCTTGTATGGTAATATTATTACAAAAATATTATTTAACTCCACACAAATTGATTAAAATACATAAAATATTTTTTTTACTTTTGAAATAAAATATATAATAGCTAATTTATCATTCATCATTATTATTCAAATACCTTTAGCATTAAGTTCATTCCTTTGAGCCTGTAAACGTCTGAGGTTCATGCTTTTTTCTGCTACAACTAATAACAGTTCTTCGATTTTAGTGGTATAGTATGATTTGAAACCATCTCCCCTAGAACCACTATTTTGATCCACCTCCATGAACTAAACACACATTTTTAACACAATTAATAAACAGTTATCATAAAAAACTATCGGAACAGTCCCAGTTATAGTGAACATATTTTTTTTTTCTTTTTGTCTACTATATTACATAAATAATATACATCTTAATAAATATTTACATATATATTTTTTTGGTTCAACTACCTATGACTTACCTCACCAAACATATTTACTGTTTCGACAGTTAAAATTCAATAAAATTTGGTCAACTGAATAAGTTTTAGAAAACCCTAATAATGTAGGTATGATTTGGTAAAACAATTAATACATAAGGATAAGTTATAATTTAGCCATTTGAATATTAATACTTAATACTTTAATAGCAACATAACATAA